GTCACGGCCACAGGAAGCCTCAGGGTTGCTGTGAATTCTAGTTCTGCCAGGTCCTGGCTTCAACTATGACAAACACTCAGGATTGTGACAGCAGCTTTGAAACGACACCCTTAGGAGGCCCCTCACTAAGCATTTTATATGTATTATTTTACTACATCCTTCCTCAAGGTAGGAAAAGGTAAGTCTGATCACTATTTGCACCCTGAAGATGAGGAATCTGAGTTTTAAAATGTGCTCGGCGTTACGAAGCTAAAACTACAACCACCAAACAGTAAGGAGAAATGGCATGTTTCACCCCTTTCACAGTCATACTTTTCATGTTTCATTTTAAAATTATTTTACCTGACAAAGCAGGTGCAAGTGTTTTTAGTTGTTTTGTTAGTACCCATAGCTCAAAGCACAGAATTAACTATTAAAAGGTGAATGTGAACACATCTACCCCTCGTTCTCTGAGCCCAGCACCCTTCTCCATAACATGGAAAATCAGCAGTGCCAGACTCCCATGAGCCTCAGCAGGGTTAGCAAGAGAACACAGGTGAAATACTTAGCCTGGCTCGGGCACGGAGGAGGAGCGCCATAGCCATTACTATTCTGACACAAAGTCAAAACTTGCAGAACAGCAGAGGGTTCAAATACATGTCCAGATGTTAGGGTTCTAGGTGCCAAAAGCCCAGATGTTTGAGAAACCTCAGGTCCTAGGTCGCATTGCGGGTGTTCAGTGGTGGAGTCGGCACGGTGAGGTCTCAAGCCGCGTCCAGGGTGGACGGGGGTTAATGACCTCCCCCCGTGTGTGCACAGTCTCCCTTTGTTAGACTAAAATTACGAAGATAGAAAGGCTTCCCCTCTCCACGTCTGCCAAAAAGATTACGGACAGTCAAAAAGCAATTGTGCTCTTTACAGGCACTTAAACTCCTTACAAAAATCAGCAGTAAAAAAAAGAAAGCATTTTTTTTTTTTTATTTCCTAAGCTTTCTTTTCAGCCTGAAAATGTATCACAAAAATCTAAATACAACTCAATTTCTTTCTTTCTGTTAATTCTAAGTAGCCTGGCACTGAAAAAAACAAAAGATGTTACCAGTCTCCCTTAAAGTTTTTGTTGATTTTGCTTATGTAGATACATACTATTTTAAAGAATTGGCTTTTAGGTCAAAATAAGTAAATGCAAAACTATAAGTTCTTCAAAGACTCAAGCTCTGCTTAACATTCTGCTCCCAATTAATAACGCCTGGCATACAAAACCAGACTTGCACAGTGAGTACGTGAGGAGGCCATCACTTCTCCCACAGAACTTATCGTAAGGAATTATGAGATAAACATTTATCCTAATTATAAATATAGAACATAATTTCACCCATTGATCTTCCTTACATTTTATTTTCTTTAATCATCTTATTTACTTCATATCATTTTGTAATTTACAAAATTATACATTGTTTAACCTCACAAATCTTTCCAGGCTCAAGGAAGACAAAATCATTTCTTTTCTATTAAGACTTTGTATATAAGAAAAATAATGTATATAATTTTCCTAAAATCTACTCCAAACCCTGAGTGCTATAGTTAGCCAGTAAGAAGGGGATGGCCAGATAGCTTTGAAATTAAGATTTTAAAGTATTGCTTTCGATAAAAGTTATTATTTACCCAATTCCTGTGAGCTCTGTGCTTCTACAGTAGATTTCACTTCTGTTTCTGCTCTGAAACTCTAAGAAGGACTGCACTAGCATACCCAGTAGACAGCCCTGGGCTGACCCAAGGTGGTGGTGGGTAGGACACGGTTCCCAGCACTGGGTACCCAGAGCTTCAGGCCCCACAGGCTGGTTACCAGTTAACTGGGCCTCCGGGGGATCCTGGAAGTCACGGTGTTTCCCACTACATTGGTGAGGAACAGAGAGAAGGACCCTGGAGAGAAGGACCCAGCCCATCTCCTTGGGTTGCAATTGGGTCCAGAGAACAAGTCAAAGGGGCAAGGTGGCACATGAGTGCCAGTGACGGAGAAATGTGCCTGGGGCACCTGTGCCCTCGAGCCCCTCACCCAGAATCTCTGCGGTGCTCTCCGAACTTGCGGGGCCGCCTAGCTCTACATCACACCTAGCATGTAATGCGTGCGGTACAATTCTTATGCACCAAAACTGGGTTGAGCCCTGACATTCTGCCTCCGAGGAAGTGATGGCCTCAAACATGCAGGTGAGGGACCCAGCCTGTGACAGCGAGTCCTGGAGCTGTGTCATGCTGCGGGACTTTCCCTCAAATACCTGCTAATCCTCCCCAGGGCACCTCTGCTTCTCTGCCCTTGGAGCCTGGCAAACAAGGCAGTGGGCGCGAGGAGTGTGGCCAGGCCAAGGGCGAGGCTGGGCAGCTCCTGGGGAGGGAGGGGCGTGCCAGCCCCTCAGTGGCTGGGGCGGGGGGCTTGTCACATGATCATGCAGCCTGAGACCCTCTCCGACCCCTGGAGACACCACCACATCCTTGCTGAAACCCTGGAGTCTGGACCATCCAGCACAACCCACGGTAAATCGACAAAAATGCTACTGTATTTAAAGCGATTGAAAGGTAGGTGAGAATAATTTTATATTATAAGGAAGAACAGTCATAGTCTTTCATGCAGTTTGATTTAATGAAGCATAGTGAGAAACGCAGTTCCTTTTCTAAACAGACCAGGCATCCTAAATTCATTGAGATTAGGTCACCCGTTAGAGGGAAGTGACAATGCTGGGAATCCCCCATTTCACCAGTTCATCAGCAGTCCTAACTAGCAAGGTCCACACACAGCTTAGGCAACAAAAAATCAGAAGCAAAACAAATTCCATGGCTTTACTATTAATATGACACTAGCCACCCCTTTTTGGGCGACAGATACGTATTATATACTGTACTAGAGACTTTACAGGCATTATCTATAACCTCCCTATAAACCTCGACTCAGGATCTTGAATCTCTGTTGAATTACTCTGATTGTTTAAAAGTGAAGATAGTTTGCCTTTGCAAAAGCCAAATACAGCAAATACATCTGTAACGCCTTTGAGCGTCTGTGTCGCACGAAGGCGAGAGAGAGGCAGCAGATGGGTGTGCAGAGCCAGCCTCTGCTCCGCTCCTCCTACCTCCTCTATCGCCACGCTCAGGCAGGATTGAGGCAGGGGGTCCAGCTCGTGTGCTGTGATCTTGAGGAAGTCCTTCCATTCTCCTGGGCCTCAGCTTTGAAACCACAGGATGTGAAACTAAAGAAGAACAGGTAAATTGGAGTTTGTCAGAATCAAAAATTTTGTGTTGCAAAAGACCGTCCAGATGGGCATATAGCTCAGTGGCACAAGTTCCTGCCTGGCAAGCATAAGGTCCTGAGTTCGATTCCTGGTACCAAAAAAAAAAAAAAGAAAGAGAGAGACTGTCCAGGAAGTGAAAAGGCAATTCACAAAATAGGAAAAGCATTTACCTGCCACGTGTCTGGCAAGCGACTTGTATCTAAAATACATAAAGGACTCTTAACAATTCAACAATAAAGACATTCCAATTTAAAATGGGCAAAGGTTCTGTCTGAATAGGCATTTTTCCAAAGAAGATATATGAATGACCAATAAACAGTGAAACAATGTTTCATAAAATCAGTCACCACAGGATACAAATGCACACGGAATGACACACTGCTCACAGCCACGAGGATGGCTAGAATCAGGGTAACAAGCTCCAGCTGGGAAGAGCTGTTGGAGAGTGAATGGGCTTCCCGCGGAGGTTGTGGAGGAAACAGAGCCCTCATCTGCTGACAGCAGGAGTGTGAAGTGGTCCGCCACCTTGGGAAAGTGATCTTGTAGTTCCTAAAGCCATCCCTGCATGACTCTGGACTTGAGCTCCTAATATGCACCTAAGGGATCTGAAAACGTGTGCGAACAGGATCATGCACATGTTTATAAGCATCATTTGTAATATCCTAAGGTACAGGAGTGAAAACAACTGGCGTCCACTCTTACGATGGAATACTAGTGGGCCATGCAAAGGAATGAGGTCCTGATACTGTCCTCACTATGAATGGATCTTGAAAACATTCTGCTAAATGAAAGAAGACAGCCACAAGAGACCACAGGTCAGTACGTTTCATCTGTGTAGAAATGCAGAATAGAAAAATCCTCAGAGGTGGGCAGGAGCTCTGCTGCAGGGCAGGCAGAGGTGAAGCTGGGGTGCGGGATTCTTTCTGAGGTGACAAAGTGTCTGTAACTGACCGTGGCCTGGGTGCGTATGTCCGTGAATACACTCAGAACCTGCACTGTGCTCTTGGAATGGATGAGCTACGTAGCCACGTGAACCATAACTCAGTAAGTCTTTTTGAAAAGATGGGTAAAGAATGACAATGCTGTGTGGTTTAATCAAAGTAAAAACCAGAGGAACATTAATTGTTTCCTAAGAAACATCAGGGAAGTAGAAATCACTATCCACTGTTTCATTCTTTCCTTGCAGCCTAATGGTCATGGAAACCCAGTTTTAAATCAGTGAATTCACCCATCTTCCTGTGACAGCCAGGACCCTGAATGATCGTGTGAGCATCTCCCCTCCACCCTTTATTAGTGGTAGAAATCTAAATTCAGCAAATCTCCTGTGAGCCAAAGTTAGGGCCCTTGGCCTTTTGACTCTACTACCAAAGTGATAAAGATTTACTGCTGCTATCAGACACTGTCCTAGGCTGTGTTGTGTATGGTTGCATTTGAGTCTGCTTCATTCGTACGAAGCCCTCTGTGTGGGTTTAGAAACTGAGGCACAGACCGAACAGCATGCTCCAAGCCACCAGCATGAGATCGGGAAGGAGGCTGTGTCAGGACTGCTCCACTGTGACACTGCACCTCTGGCGTGGTGGTGTCCCTGCCTGTTTAGCAAATAGTACCGGTGACTGCTAGCTGGATGGGTGGGGCATTAATAAACACACCCCAGAAGATACACACACACACACACACACACACACACACACACACACACACGTTCACTGTGAACCATACTGTTTTAAAGGACAGTGGCACATGAGTTATAAATACAGCTGTGTGCCACACAAGGACATTGTGGCCGAGGATGGACTGCACACACCACTGTGGAAAGGCTGGAATAGAGGACGTTAGGCAGTGATACTGGAGCTGCAAACCTCTGTCACCTGGTGACGCCACCGCTTCATAAAGCTGTCCTTGTTGAGGTGCATTTAGCTGCTCAAACCCCGCCGTGTGACGCATGCCTCCAGTGACGTGCTGGATGGGTCTGTAGTCCAGGAGCTACAGGCCACACGACGCAGCCTAGGGGCGAGGTTAGCTGACCTCTCTGCAGCGCACCTTGTCCTGTTTGCTTTGGCTTTGTGTTTTGCAGTGCTGAGGACGGGACCTCCCCTCACCTATGCCAGGCCAGCGCCCTGTCTCTGAGCTGGGCCTACCTTCCCCCGCCGGGCTTGTGGAAGCTCACACGGTGATGTGCACACACAGCAGCAATCACTAAGGGCGCTTCCTTAGCCTGGAGCCTTATCACTGACTGCCAGGTACAATAATCCATATTTGTTTTTATAAATTTTCATATCACCAAGCGAGTCGCACAAAATACTTTACTCAGTGTTTGCTATTTTTTTTTTTTTTTACCCAAAGCCAACCTATAGCTGTAACTGACTCTTACTTGAATTTTGGTGGCTATTGCCCCTTCTGTTACTAACTAGCATCTACGGCCATACCACCCTGAACAGGCCCGATCTCGTCTGTTACTAACTAGTTATCAATGCATAAGAGGAAACCAAAACAGTGGAGCTGTGTCAGGACTTCACCCAGGCGTCCATGACTTGTGTGGCTCTGTTGTTGAGTTAGTTTAAAGCTTTCAAATGCTGAGAGCATTTGTCCAGTTTCTGAGCCACCCACTGTGTGGCAGCTAAAGGTACCACACGCTCATTAGATGTGGTGCCGGGGATCCACCCCAGGGCCTTGCGCGTGGTAGGAAAGTTCTCTACCACTGAGCTGTCTACCCCAGCCCCATGTGCTTTTAACATGAATTTATTTAATATGAATTACTCATGCTTTTCCCATCACTGTCGTGAAATTAGGCAATTAGTAAGACAATGATTCACTTGTGCTACTTACCAGTTTTGATGGGGCAGCTTCTCGGACTTCCTCTGCGACATTACTGAACCCAGAGTAAAAAGGAAATGCGGAGAGCTTTCAACACGCAGTTACTACAGAAATAAGCAATCTCCAGTTTGTGTAAGTGCAAAATGTGGTAAAATAATTAGGAAGTAATGAGTCTTGAGTATTTATGAGTTGTTTTCAATAGAATTTACTCTATTGTAAGATTTTTTTTTAAACTTAATTTTTATAGTGGCCGTGTTTAAAAACTGGCTCAGAGAACTCCTGGAAACTCGAGCTCTGCTCTCAGGAGCCTCCGTGCTGGACGCTGAGCTGGCCGTGAGGATGGACATTCCCAGACACCCTCCAGGAGACAACAGCCCTTCTCTGCAGTGGCCTGGTCCCTCCTGGGCCACTCTCCTTTCCTTGCTGATCGCTGAGCCCTTCTCAGGGATTGCTCTCACCTTTTTAGACACGTGGGAGCTTAGTAGTTAAAATAAAATTGTCCTGTACTTAGTAGATGTTTCCCAAAAATGCTCTTGGCTGGGATGCCTGGACTGCAGTCAGTCTGGTCCCCTGCTTACCTCTGCGTTAGATGTTAATATACAAACAGACCAAACAATAAATGGTGTAATTCAAATTTGCTATTGCCGGGAGAGCTGTTAAAGGGGGCTGCTTAAAATATATTGGGCAAAACCTCTTTTTTGCAGTACCTTTCAAAGGGCTGACATCCTGCCTGGGCCCCTTTACCACCCACTCTGAGCCGTAAGATGTCGCTGGAGTTGGCTGACGTCCTAATTCAGGGCCCCGACACGCTCACCCTGGATGTTGTCACCTCATAAATGTGTCACTTCCAGCCCCACCTCCCTTCTTCAACAATTTCTCTGCCCACCCTGAAGATGTAGAAATGCCTTAGAAACACTGAACCCAAGCCAAGACACAGGAGTTAATTACTCTACCAACTTAGGCGAAGTGGCTCCGTGCGCCAGGTCCTGCGACAGGCCCAGGAATAACAAGAGAAACCCAAGTCCTCAAAGAGTTAAAGTCTTGACCAGCGGGTCACAGTCCAAGGGACGCATTCGAGCTTTAAACTGACGAATGCCCAGGCTCCATTCCAAGCTAATTAAATTAGAATCCTCCAGCAAAGTGGTTTAAAGTCTCCCCACGGGTTCCGCTGGAAGCCAGGACCGAGATCCCTGGAATAACAGCTAATGGCTCCCTTTTGCATGAGCATGGTCGGCCACGCCGGGCTGGAGCTTGTGGGCATGGAAACAAAAAGCCTCAGGACTCAGGTCGCGCCAGGAACCGTGCGTCCCGCATCCGCGCACAGAGCGCAGTAGGAAAGTGGCCTCGGGTCCCTCTGCCTACTGCACAGGAATCTGCATTGGAACAAGGCCCCGGGCTGACTGCGATCCATACTCCTTGTGGAAGATGCTGAGTTAAGGCGAGAATCCTGTGCTCAAGGATTCTCCAGCCCACAAGGAAGGGAGACGCGCTACACTGATCATCGCAAGGTGCTGGGCTCCGCGTGATGAGAGCGTGTGATGCCGGGAGGGGGCTGGCCCGGGGGCGCTGGTGAAACGGGCAGCGGGGCTGTTGCAGTGGTGATACAGGTGACCCGGGAATCAGGGGGAAGAGCAGACAGTCCCTTGTCCCCAGGGCACATGCGGTACGACCGAAGCACGTAGTGCATGTTAAACAAGTAGATCGATCACAGGGAAAGGGACGTTGCCATGAATCCCCCTAGAATCCCCCCTCTTGCTTTGAACACACTTACTCCATTGCTCCCCTCTGAGAGTCCAATTTTGCATTTTCTTATGAAATGTGATTAAACAATTCGGTGAATGCAGCCGCCGAGAGTCAGCCAACAGAAAGGCAGTCTCATAAAAGCATGGCAGTCTTCACCCAGCGTGTTCATCAGGTAGGACGCCTTCCTCCTCCTCCTCTCAGTCACAGTGTCCATGAAAGATCAGCATTTTGAATCCATTCAAGACATCAGGGCTCCCACGACAGCACAACTAAAGACACTCACGAAAGAGAAGTTCAAAGCTGCATCAGAAGGTGGCAAGAGCAACGGGAGAAGTGTGTCTGAGGCAGGGAGGAGAGTTGTGAGGGGGAGTAATGGCAATGTGTGTTTTACTGTAATCTGTTTTTTAAACTGATGAGTCAATGGCTAATTGTGCTCTTAGGAAGCAGTAGGGCCTAATGGAAGAGCTGTGCAAAGAGGGCAGCCTGTGGAGGGTGTATCTCCCTTCCCTCCTCGTTCTTGTAAACACTCACCATATTTTCCAGTCACATATTCTAAAGTGGACTCAAGAAATATGAGCTGAAGCAGGCGGCACATGCCTGATCCTAGGAAACTTGTCAAGGCCAAGATTGCTCACGAAGCTGTGTTGGAAACAGAATGAAAAATCAAATATTTTTTTAGGTAATGGAAAGATGAATGGGCCTAGAGAACCAGTGAAGTTTCCTAAATATTTCCTTATGCTACCTGTATGAGTCAGTTCAGGCTGTGTAACAAAACACTGCAGACCACAGGAGTAAAGCAGGGAATGCTTATTATCCCAGAGCTCTGAGGCCTGGCTACCTCACAGTGAGTGCCGGAGTTGGTTCAGGTAAGGATGTGCTTCCTGTCCTGCAGACAGACACCTAGGCTCTTCCAAAGCAGGGTCCTAAGTTAGGCTCCTTTCTCAATGGATGGGAGTAGCTGGCTTTCAACAGTCTACCAGTTCTTACTGTTCTTAATGCTTTATTTATGTATATTTTGTTTGAAGGGTCAGTAGTGTCTCTTTCATTTACACTTCTCTCATTAGTAGTACCCACACATCTTTTTCTGTTTTATTGGAACTGATATTGTCTCTTACATATTCTCCACTTATTATTGATCCTTTATAGACTTTGCCTATTTTTTCTTTGGGGATATCTGACCTTTTTGCACTGATCTGTGAATTTTCTTTATATATTGGAGGTACAAATATTTTGTCTCTAATAGATGTAACAAAAATCTTCTCCAAGTCTGTCACTTACATTTTATCTTGGGTTATGATGTCCTTTAGTTACATAAAAATTTTCTTGCTATTTTTATATGCTCAAACATTTCAGTATTTCCTTTTATCTTTGCTTTTTGTGTATTTCATTCTTGAGGCTTTATAACATGGTTAACAGTTAGGCCTTTAAGCTATTTGTTTGTCAAGGGTTTTAAAATTTTTTTATTTTGCATAAAACGTGAAGAGGGTTGCAATCTTTTTCTGCACAGAGAGCCAGTTGTCCTAATACCATTATCCCCAGATCCATTTTTTATACCAAGCTCCTATACATGCATGGAAGTTTTTCTTGTCTTTATCCTCCTGTTCTATGTATCTCACCCTGTCTCCTACCAATCCTGTGGATACATACATCTGTCATATCTAGTAAGGCTAGTTGTCTTTCCTTGCTTTCTACCAACCTTATCTTCATTGAAATTCTTACATATGAATTTGAGAATCCTTCTATAAAGTTCTGTGACAATTCTGGCTGTCACATTAAAACTATGAGTCAATTTTAAAAGAATTGGCATCTCCATATTAGGCCCAAATCCCCAGGACCGCACCGGCCGGCACCCACTGATGCTTGCAGACAGTCCTTCCCAGTGAACCCGCACAATTCCACTCTTGCCCTCCAGGTGAAGGCCTGTGTGTCCCCACCAGCATCAGAATTGGGTAATATTATCATGCAGCTAATTAAATATTACACAAACCCATGACATGCAGAAAGAGAAACCTATCATTTCCACTAAATCTAAATTGAGTGCTTTAGAAAGGCTCAGAAAAGGAACTTGCTAAATTAAATGTAAGTAAGGAATTGGTCAACTATTAGGACCAGGAAATTGTGAAATTTGAAAAGTCTTCTCACATTGCTTCATCGATGCTTTTAACTACTAGTTTTGCTTCAAAGGAAATGAAACTGGACATCCAAGCTGATCCCACTGTAAATATGATTTAGAGGAAAAAAAATCAATGAGGAACTTCGAGTATTGATTTTGCTAAACCCTAAGCACCAGCTCTATAGCAAAATACTGGTGAATGAATATAAATGTACATGGTGAAAGTTGCAATAAAGTATTTTAGGTTTATGTCAACATCTACCTTTAGTGATTTGAGAAATGTTCAGAGGTCATCAGTCTTTCTACCATATTTCTACTTGCTTATCTGATCTCCTCCATGTCCTCCAGTAAAAATGTTTAGAAGTTCTTCATGACAATCCTGTGTATTTTTGTTAGGTTTATGTCTGATTTTTTTATAGTTTTGCTGCTACTGTAATACAGATTTCTATCAAACATACCTTCTAATTGTTTTTGCTTATTAAGGAAGAACTGACTTGCCGTGCACTGATGCTATTTTGCTCCACTGGTCATTTTTACAGGCTGGCTTATTTTTTCCAGTAAGTTGAGGGTTCACATTTCTGGGTACATTGTGCTCTTCTTGTATTTTATATTCTTTAAAACTTTTGATTGGCACGAAGCACTTGTACGTATTTATGGGTGCAGAGTGGCATTTTCAAATGGGCACAATGTGTAATGATCAAGTCAGGGTAAGTGACATGTCATCTCTGACATTTCGCATTTCTTGTGCTGAGAGCATTAAATATTCTCTCTCCTAGCAAATTTGAAATATCCAATTAGTTGTTCAATCACCCTTACCCTACAAAGGCCTCAGGTCCTTGCAGAGGCCTGGAGTCAGGCCTCTCTCAGTCACCCTTAATGGCTGTCGATCACCCTTCCTCTGCTGAGCTTTTGATAGAGATAAGCTGCTCTTCCTGCTCAGTGGCATGCCTGTACCTGTTAAGCACCCCGTCTCCCTCCTCCTCCCCCAGGCTCTGGTGACCCCCATTGTAGACCATCTTACAGGCTGAATATGATGCTTGTTCATCTGAGAGGGGTCACATTAGCTCATGAAATCCTCAATGTGGGTTCAGAGTTCATTAGGAAGCAGAGTCTGAGATGGAGATTTTCATGAGAAGGTTTACCAGCAGTTCTTATGGAATCAAGCCCTTTAGGGAAAAGGAAGCCACTAGGAGTTGCACACAGTGGAGCTGGGCTATGATCTTGTCCCAACAAGGGCATCAGGTCCCTGCAGAGGCCTAGAATGGCCCTACAGTGTCATGAAGTGCAGCCAGGAACCTGGCCTTTTATCTCCGCTATAACCGGTCTCCACCGAGGAGCCACAGTGGGGAGCACTTGGCCCTCTTTGGCCGAGACCACCACCACAAGGAGCTCGGCTGTGAGCCACCCTCTGTTAGCATCAGATCTGTCCTGGGATGAAGACCTGGCCGCATGCCGCGGCATCCACTACAGTGCGACAGGGACACACACCATGGTCTCCACACCCGTGTGACGGGAGGATTTTGTCCTTTCTTCTCTAGTGCCCACTTCATTTCCTGCGGTGGCTTGGTCTCCAGGTAAGGCTGAGTTAGGAAAAGCTGCGTCCTCACCTCTCTCTTGGATTTCCATGCAGTGCTCCAATTCGTGGAATAACTGTGATCATATGACACATGATTGTGTTAAAACACTACCAAGTTCTACTTCCCTACTATTATAACTCAGGATTTTTACACCTGCAGACATAACTGAGTTTTCATCCTACTTAAACACTTGGTCTGTTGCTTTACTTTCCCTTTTTGCTGCCTTTGGAATATGGTCATATTGGTTTCATTGAAATGATTGGGTAACTTCTCATCTTGGCTATGTTCTAAGACAATCTGTGTGGTGAGAATTCTCTGGTCTTTAGATTTTTACCAAAACATGCAATTACTTTATCCTGGCGATGTTTGAAGAGTGGCAGGTGTTTGAAGATTGTTATGTGAACCTAAGTTAACCACAGCTGTGATTTCTCTTAAGGGTGTTATGTTCCTAAGTTTTCTTGCTGCTACTTGGAACAATTTTGATAATGTGCACTTTCCTTAAAAAGTCACCCATGCAGACACTTCAATTTCTTGTAGTAATTTGCCTTGTTCTTAGGTAGTTCTTAATTGATTTTTATTTCTTTTGCTTGTCGAGCTATGCATTTCATTTACTTCCTGATGGAACTTACAGCTTTCTTTTCTCTTTTCTCTTTTTGCTATAGGTTTGTCTTCTTGTTTGCAGAGGTTC